CCCCAAAACCCCAAAACCCCAAAACCCCAAAACCCCAAAACCCCATGAACACAAAATAGATGTGGCTTATAAAATACAGTAATTATTAAGAAATTATATTTGATGAATAAATTAAGTTAATCTAAGAGGGTAATAGTTGACCTTGAATTAGCCTATGATTTCTGGTCGTTAATATTCTGCATAACTAAATCAGTGGTTTTCAACTCTAAAAATATCAATATCAAAAACAGCGATTATAAGTTGATTATGAATAAAAGCTTTTAAGATTCATTGAATTGCATCTAATAAACTTATGAATTAGATGAAAGTAATATGTTCAAAATAAAGAGATATTTCCATGATTACTCTCATAGTATTAAACCATGGATTCCTTTTCATTAATTAATGAAAAGTTTACAGAGCTAGCCATCTATCTAGGCTGGATATCGAACCTTTTACGAGTAAAAAATTTAAGATGAAACAGATTACTTCATTGAGACTGATATTATTGTTGATCATAATTCTATCTAAGATGAAGACCTACTGATTACTTCCAGAATTGAAGATAAAGACAGGCAAAATACTATCTATATTTAAGGTAGAAACCTCTATACTGAGTCACAGAGTCCCAAATCATTATACGATATTGATTTCAGCTAATATGGACTGGGGGATTTAAATTTGGAATTTAGAAAACCCAGCGGATATGTCGTCTCAAGAAATTTGGTAGATGACTTGCCAGAATATGACAAATGGCATAATCACACCTAAGTAGAGGAAATAAAGATTAAAGGAAAGGTAGTGAAAGGTTTTCAAAGAGGAAGTAAGCAGTTGGGTTGTCCAACAGCCAATATAGAAATGACAGAGGAAAATAAGAAACTAACAAGTGAGTTGATTCCTGGCGTATACTCTGCTTTTGGAAAATTTATCAATCCTACCATTGATATTTTAGTTCATTCAAATCCATATAAATGCGCACTTTCGATTGGGTGGAATCCTGTTTATGAAAACACTGAAAAAACAGTGGAAGTTTACATAATTAACGACTTCTTCGGCAATGATTTCTACGGATAAGAATTTGAGGTTACATTAAAATCTTTCATAAGATCAGAAGCTTGGTATTCAACTTTTGAAGATTTGATTTTAGCAATATCCTGTGATATTAGATCGACAGAGACTTACTTAGAGGACAAAAAGTTATGATTCAAGATTAGATTAGATTAATTAATAATACTTATCAATCAAATTGATCCCATTTAATCACTTCTTCCTGGTCTGACCTTGGTTTGCATGATGCAATCTGGCTTCTTTTTTCTTTTTGCAGATGGGGCAAACATACTTCTCATCTTCGTTCATCTTAGCTAGTTTGTCTGAATCAAAGCCATCGCAAGCTGCGTGAATCCAGTCCTGGCACTCATCACATTGGATGAAGTCCTCGTTAGAGTCTTATGAGTATGCTTTCTAGCATATCTTACAAAAGTTGCCTTGCTGCAGTTGATAATTACAGTCTTTACATATTCTAAATATTGAGTTGTACCACAGGCCTTGGTTTTTCTAAGCAATGTTACCTAGATCTTTGTCACAGGAGACACAGTTGATACAATCCTTACAGAACCAGTTCTGGCTAGGAATTTGAGATAGAGGAGGATTCAAACAATGGATGTGAACTGCCTTGTCACACATGTCACAAATTATTATTTTGTCTTCATCGTTGTTTTAGTTACAGTTCTTGCAAGTTTTGCAATCAGAGCATTCCCATTAAAACCTTTTTACTAGATCCGTGTTTAGAGGGGGCTAATGACAAGCACTGTGATATATCTTGAAACATCTAAAGCATTTTAAACTCTTGGCTTCTTCGCTTGGAATGACTTTTTTCTCGCATACTGAGCATGCTTCTGAGTATTTAACATCATCTCCACCTGCTCTTTAGCCATCTTGATCTTTTCCAGACTTTGATATGCTCTACTTCTTGCTTGCGTCTTTACTTTTATTAGCTCCATTACTCTATACAGCCTAAGTTGCTGCTTACTTTGAACTAGTCTTTGTTTAAACTTGAGTTTTAGGTCTACTTGTCTGATTCATAGAAGTGGCAATATATCTAGCTACCTTTTTATTCTCAGATCCTGGATCTATCAATCCTGAAATATAGTTCTGACTACACTTAGAACATAGCTAAACTTAGTCGCCTTTCTCGGACTATAGAATTTACTTTTAAGTTAATTACTACCTTCCAGCTTTAAGTGATGAGATTATCATAAATTGTCTACTTGCAATAGCTACATTCCTTCCTCTGACTCTTCATATGAGAATCAAAATCCTTCATATCTTCCTCATCTAAGTAGTCTAAAAACTTTTCGAAGGTGTCCGCGAAATCTCCCTTCTATACATTCATCAGTCTCTCTTTTTCCAATCTTAGCTATTATTTGAAATAAAATAATGTATTTTACCTACCTTTTAAATCATTTTTGACTCAAAATCTGGCTAGTAGCCATCATAGTATTCTTGGAGATTACCAGCCACTAGCTATTGCATTTGCATCTGAACTTTATTAGATACAGAAACTGCGCCAGAATTAGGGCAGTAGCATAATCTCTTTTTCGTAATTCCGCATTCAATATGAAATGGTCTCAGATTTCTCTTCTTTTGAGTGCATCTCTCAAATTCATTTTACTAGATATTAGCCATGTTTGGATCATTGATAAATGACTGTCCGTAGGGGTAGGCGTAGATTTTAGAAAATTTCTCTAAAAATGTTGGTCTCATTACTATCTCGATTTTAATAATAACAATTATTTCACATAAAACTCAAAATACTTTCATGAAGGGGTTTTGGGGTTTTGGGGTTTTGGGGTTTTGGGG